GCAAATATTTCCCTCTGAAAAGATAAATGTTTCAAATTGCCTTTTGCAAGGTAATTCCCCTGATCAACACTTCAGCCCTAAGATCATGCACATGTGTACGAACAGGACAGTTGTTGTATGGAGTCCTTCAAGATGTCCGCAGAGAAACTGAGGACATGTTGGAAATCTTCCAGGTTTCTGCTCGATTTGCTATCATCACTAGAAGGATCCCTCTCTCTCTCATCATATGACAAACCTAGACCCTGAGGCTTTGGTGGACTCCTATAGCCACAACGGCCAGTTGTACAGCTACCCCCACCAGAGCACATAAGGTCTAAAATAATGCCTCAGATTTCTGTCCAAGGCACCTTTAACCACTTCAGCTCCAGAAGGTTTTACCCCCTTCATGACCAGGCCATTGTTTGCTATTTAGAACTATGCTACTTTATCTGGTAATTGCTCAGTTATGCAACACTGTACCCAAGCAAAATTTATATAATTTTTTTTTCCACACAAATAGAGCTTTCTTTGACTGGTATTTGATCACCACTGGGTTTTTTTTTCATTTTTTTATAAACATAAAAGACTTAACATTTTGAAAAAAATATTTTTCACTTTCTGCTATAAAACATATCCAATAAAAATTTTTTAAGATCTAATTTCTTAATAAATTTTGGTCAAAATATATTCTGCTACATGGTCTTGGCAAAAAAAAAATCCAAATATGTGTATGCTGACTGGTTTGCATGAAAGTTATAGCATCTAAAAACTGTGGTAAATACTGGAATTTTTATTTTTTTAGAATACTGATGGCTGTGATCAGCAACCTATAGTGGGACTGTGATAGTGCGGCGGGCAGTCTGACACTGAATAACACTGTGTGGAAACTGACACCAATACAGTGATAATAATATATACTGTCACTATACTAATGACACTGGCTGGGAAGGAGTTAACATTTTGGGTAATCAAGGTGATAAGCTTGTGCCTTAGAAGTGTTAATGTGTGTATTACTGTACTGCTTTTTATTAAATATCTTTGTTCCTTCTCCCTACTTTAGCATGGAGAATAAACAAAGATTGTTCCCTCTGTACAGAGCCCTGTGTTGATTGTCAACACAGGGCTCTGGGCAGTGACTGGACACAGCAGGTCTTGGCCATAAATCACTGGCTGGGACCCAATGATGAACTGCCGCTGGAGTGGGAATCAGCAGGCAGGGGAGCATGCCCTGTAACCATACAGGTACGTCGCTGTGCATGTACGGGCCCGCTCGGCCACAGTACATTACGGGTGGGCAGTCCTTAAGTGGTTGAAGAGTGGGAAATCATCCACTGGACACGTAAGGTTCTCAATGATGTAAGAAACTGCAATATCAGCCAAGGCTTACTGCGTTTCCTAGCAAACTCACTCTCTATACGGTATTGCTGAGCTAACCTTTTTGGTGAAACAAACACCTTGTCATGGTGAGCCCAGTTCGCATGCAAAGCCTCCTTTAAATGAGTATTTATAGGGAAGGACTGAAAATTGTTGCGGCCACCACGATCCAAATCTTGAGACCTTTAAAGTGAACCTAGGAAGTGGTCAATTTCTAATTAGTGTGGACAACTTCCAAGAGGACATTCAGAAAGCTTTTTTGAGTTTGATAAACTCTGACCCTGGAGTTCAGGAATAGATTCCTCGAATGAGGATTCTTCTGTCTCCTTCTACTGGAATATTCTCTTCTTTCTCTACCTCATCCTCCACTGGTTCCTCTTTTGTTAACAAGGAGGTGAGAGGAGATGAGGAACACTTTGCAACCCAGAAAGCTGCTGCTGTACACCAGCAATAACAGATGAGAATGTATCCCTTGTCCCTCCCTTGGTGGAAGGTGCCCCAAAAGTAGCAGACATATCAGATAGGTGGAGGATGTCAGAGCCGCATGAAAAACTGATCTTCGGAGGACAATTGCACGGGGGGTTGCATTCACATTCCTCCCTACTTGAAGAAGGTGCTACGTATTTGGGGCCCCTCATCCCCCTCTCCTTGCCATTGATGATACATGGCCTGCAGACACATACATAGGGACCCTTGCTGGAAACAGCCATCTCAGGCAGCTGAGAAGGCACTGAGACAATAAACACCAGTGCGCTACCCTAGCAGATTTCCCACTAAATATGCCAGTACCACCTGCCCCCACAAGGAAAGGTGAATTGGCCCCAATACTTGCTGCAACCTGTAGTCCCATAAGGAAAGTTCAGCTGTGACCTGTATTCCTACAAGGAATGCTTTGCTGCAACCTGTAGTCCAACAAGGAAAGCTCTGCTGTAACCTGCAGTGGATCAGGAAACACCTCTGCTGCAACCTGTAGTCCTACAGGTATGTTCTGCTGTGACCTGTAGCCCCACCAGGATCGACATCACTTAGAGTCTATACTGCCCATGCAGTCCAAAATAAAAGCCAGCAGCAAGCTCCGCCCTGCTGGTGACATCACAGTCATACTGCATATGCGCACGCAGCCCTAGCTGTTCCAGAGTGAATGCAGGGGGCAGAGAAAACTCTATGCTTCTTGCATTTGGCAATTAGGGCCTCCCGGACAGCCCCTTGCTATGTAGTACTCAGGGCAGCCAGGGAGGCTAACATTGTACACAAAAGCACCAAACCACATTACACTCACTGCTGTGACCTGTAGCCCCACACTGAAAAAAAAAAAAACCTAACACTGAGGGCCACCTTTCCAGTCATTACCTGTGGAAGAGGGGCAGCAGATAAGGGTACCAGCAGGGCTACACTAGGGTACTCAGCCCTACGGGGTCCAATCTTCACCCATCACAATGGGTAATGTCACAAAGGCCTTCAGGATTCAACTCCCCAGCTGTGGATCACTGCCCTGGAGCTGTATAGCACCCTACTATTCCACAAAGCAATCCTGTGTAAACCTGCAACATTACAAGCCATCCCCATGTGTCCAGAAAGGGGTCCAGGAACCAATCTTCTGATCATTGAAAAGCTGTAGGAAAAATGATCCAGAAGAAAGAGCTAGTCTCCTAATCCCAGGTGGAATCATTGAGAAGCTAGCTACATTTTCATGCAGGGACATGCCCATCACCACAGACACTACCAAAAAACCTGAAGCCTTGCCTAACAGGAAATGCCTATACCTAAGAGGGGACTTCCTGTCTTTTCTGCCAGTGTCCAATCACCTGAAGAAGGAAGCACAACTCTATTGTAGTGGATACTGAGATGCTCTGTATCCCATGATGTATAATAAAGAAAAAAGGCTTTTCTAGCTCCTAAAATAAATGTAAGTACATTTTATTGACATTCTGTGGGTTGAACTAGATAGGTTGTGTCTTTTCAACCAGACTAACTATGTAACTACCGTATTTTTCGCTCCATAAGACGCACTTTTTTTCCCCCCCAAAAAAGGAGGGAAAATGTCAATGCGTCTTATGGAGCGAATATGGAGCGGCCAGTCCAGTATTTCCACTGCCGCCGTGTCAGAATACCGGGCCGGCCGCTCAGCTCTGCAGCAGGAACTTACCTGTTCCTCTGTCCAGCGCTGCACAGTCTTCCCGCGCCGGCTTCTTTAGTGTGGGCTCTCGACTTGACAGCCGGGTGCCCAGTGCGCATGCGCGAGAAGCGCTGCACTTTGTGAATGGTACGGCGTCTTCTGGGACACGACAGGTCCCAGAAGGCGCCGGACCAATCACAAAGCGCAACGCTTCTCGCGCATGCGCACTGGGCACCCGGTTGTTTTCCGGGTGCCCACACTAAAGGGAGGAAAACGCAGCGGAAGTGGGAGCAGGTACCTGTCAAATTCAGGTACCCGCTCCCCCCCTCCCTCCCCAAAGGTCAGCAGTCTCTTAGTCATCTCCTGTATTGTCCGCAGTCTCTGGTCATCCCTGTACTGTCTGCAGTCTCTGGTCATCTCCTGTCCTGTCCGCATTCTCTTGGTCATCTCCTGTACTGTGTCCGCAGTCTCTGGTCATCTCCTGTACTGTGTCCGCAGTCTCTGGTCATCTCCTGTACTGTGTCCGCAGTCTCTGGTCATCTCCTGTACTGTGTCTGCAGTCTCTGGTCATCTCCTGTACTGTGTCCGCAGTCTCTGGTCATCTCCTGTACTGTGTCTGCAGTCTCTGTCTCTGGTCATCCCCTGTACTGTGTCCGCAGTCTCTGGTCATCTCCTGTACTGTGTCCGCAGTCTCTGGCCATCTGCTGTACTGTGTCTGCAGTTTCTGGTCATCTCCCTGTACTGTGTACTGTGTCCGCAGTCTCTGGTCATCCCTGTACTGTGTCCGCAGTCTCTGGTCATCTCCTGTACTGTGTCCGCAGTCTCTGGTCATCTCCTGTACTGTGTCCGCAGTCTCTGGTCATTCCCTGTACTATGTCCGCAGTCTCTGGTCATCTCCTGTACTGTGTCTGCAGTCTCTGGTCATCTCCTGTACTACGTCTGCAGTCTCTGGTCATCTCCTGTACTGTGTCTGCAGTCTCTGGTCATCTCCTGTACTGTGTCTGCAGTCTCTGGTCATCCCCTGTACTGTGTCCGCAGTCTCTGGTCATCTCCTGTACTGTGTCCGCAGTCTCTGGTCATCTCCTGTACTGTGTCTGCAGTCTCTGGTCATCCCCTGTACTATGTCCGCAGTCTCTGGTCATCCCCTGTACTGTGTCCGCAGTCTCTGGTCATCTACTGTACTGTGTCCGCAGTCTCTGGTCATTCCCTGTACTATGTCCGCAGTCTCTGGTCATCTCCTGTACTGTGTCTGCAGTCTCTGGTCATCTCCTGTACTGTGTCTGCAGTCTCTGGTCATCTCCTGTACTACGTCTGCAGTCCATTGGTTCAGAATATTTTTTTCTTGCTTTCTGCCTCTAAAACCTAGGTGCGTCTTATGGAGCGAAAAATACGGTAAGTAACTTAAGAGGATGTTAACATATCAAATGCTGGAAATATATACATACTGTATATGCACGCACAAACACACACACATACTGTGGCGTATTTACACAGTGTGTAAATTTACCTTCTTGTGACATTCTGCACTTACTTGTGACTGGAGTTTCCTATGCAGCTCTGAGAACAGAGCACCATCGGCTTCTCTTCTCTGACGCACAACTGTAGAAAAGAAAAGAGATTACAGCACTTTACAAATATAAAAACCTTGGGTAAATCACTTTTATATTAAAATCACAGTTGAATGCAAATGCTTTACAATTGTCCGTTGAGCATTCTTTACAGAACATAAAAACCTTGGGTAAATCACTTTTATATTACAATCACAGTTGAATGCAACTGCTTTACAATTGTCCGTTGAGCACTTTAATTTAATTCAATCCTGCAGATGTAACTAATATGTCAATGGCACTGCCAGCAAGTAAATAGACTCCCAAGTGCTACAGCGGCCTGCAAAGCCCCTTATCAAAACCCATTATCAGCGGATCGTGGGTGTAATGCCAGCCTACTGCAGACTCTTCCTCCAGCTCTCTGTCCATAAGAAAGTATGGGTTTTCAGTTGAAGAGCTAGTGGGAAGTATCAATGGACTAAAGGTGGCAACACATGAATCAAAATTTAACCGGTTCAGTATGGACCGGCCGAATTTCGATCCATATATGGGCACTTTGGTTGTGCAGAAGTGGATCTACCAATCAACTTCTGTACAACCATCCTGATGGATTTTTTCTGCTTGAACAGCACTGCAGGCTATAGACTGCAGCACTGATCAGCTTATTCCGACGCGGGGAAGTTTCCCTGTTGACAGAATACAATAGCTCAGCGGAACCTTGATTGTGTGGAAGAGGAAATAAGGTCATTTTTTTTTTTTTTAATCAACCCTCTGGTAGAATGAAAAAAAAAAAAACTGAATATATGGGCTGCCTAAAAGTGTGGTGATTACCGCATTGCTGCTCCACTGACAACTACAAGTCCATCTGCTGCAGTGGTAAAAGGGACTTGTAGTTAATTAATTTACCGATCTCTGTAGACCAGCAAAGCCCCATCGATTTCAAAAGTGGCAGCTGCTGAGGGGGAGAAGAACCCCCACATGCTATCACTGGGGATGGGGGTTTTGAGCATGGGGAGATGCCCATTTGCACCATGTTACACCCTAAATACAGGTGTAGCGTGTAACATGGTGTTACTTTAAAAAAAAAACATTTTTGGGTCTAATGTTTTCTTAAAAGTGGACCTCTGCGCAGACTATGCTCAATCAGCTTTGGGTTTCTGAGTTTATTCGTCAAAGGAGAAATGAGCAAATAGATTTTCACTGATGCTTCATTGCTCTTCATCCTATCGCACGCCATGGAGGTCCCAGGCACCAAGGCAAGACAAGTGATCTTGAGACACATGCCAGAGGTGGGGTCGGGGAGTACATGCCAATCAGCAGGCTGTAGTTTGGAGACCGCTGGTTTAAAGTATTACTCATCTACTGTACCACCAAAAGATACTTATATTGTCAATAAGACAAATGCAATTGTGCTGCTCCAAGAACAATTGCATACCAGCTGAACAGTACCTATAAAAAAATACTTATTTTTTCCCCTTAAAGAAAAGTACTTTTAGTGAGCGCATGTTATGAGTTATTTTAACATTTAAATCAGTCGGCTCATAGACTTAAAATGTGAAAATCAGCAATAAAGTAGAACTATTGTGTATCATTATAATCCTGGAAGCAGTGTTTAGAACACAAACGTACACATGCCATGCAATTACAAGCAGTCACAAAGTTAATAATAGCATTTACATTAAACGCATCACTTTTACACACACAATAGAACTGGGTTTCCCAACCATTTTCCAGTCATGGAGCCCTTGAAAAGTATTTTCAGTCTTGAGGCACCCCAGTCTCAAATTGCGTGAGTTACCAACACATAGACAAATGCACTGCTCTTTAGCCGACACACAGGGGTGCCATTAATTATTAATAGTACGCCCACACATTGGCGAACATGGTGCATTTTCGGTGCAGAGTGATTTAAAAAAAAAAAAAAGGGGGGGGGGGGGGGTCAGGGACATCTTTCCCTGCGTTACTGTAAGTAGGGCAGCCCATTAGAATAAATGGGCTGCCCTACACGTAGCACACAGCTGCATAGTTGTGAACAGAGGGCTTGTTCACATGTGAGGTTGGAGGATAGTAAAACTACATGGGTGAGCTGAGTTTTTTACCACCAAAACTGCCCCCCTTTTAGCTGCAGATGCAACAGCCAGGGTTGTACACAAGCTGTGACTGCTGCAGAACGTATATCCCCATGGTGAATGGGGCAGTGCTGCAGCACAGTGATTTTGCATTCAGGGGTTAACACAGGCATTGAGGATGCGACATATTGCCTTTTCACTGCCTGTCAAATTCAGTCCTTTCCACTATTATGAATGAGCCCTACAAAAGCAGGTCTGATCATACAGAATTACGGATCAAGAATAAACATACATATAACCAAACATACATACAGCCTTTTTAAAAACAGTAGTACTGTTCCTGCACTTGCACTGCTAGGTGCTGCACTGTAGAGTGAAGCAGAACAAGTCAGGGCTCAGGAAGAAGTCTCTGCCTTTAACTGCTTTGCTCTTCTGGGTCCTGACTGAGCTCCTGCTGTGTCAATGTAGAGTTCAGCAAAGCAATGGCTTTCTCAACCAGTATGCTTTGCACCCTGACGACCTCAGATGGCACACAGGTTGAGAAAGGCTGCACTAGAGGTCTGACAGCAGCTGTCTGTTAAACTGCCTAACCTCACACACCACACATTCAGAGGATGCAAGACATTTGGCCTGTTTCACTAAAGCAGGGGTGTCAAACTGGTGGCCCTCCAGCTGTTGCAAAACTACAAATCCCATCATGCCTCTATCTTTGGGAGTCATGCTTGTAACTGTCAATCTTGCAATGCCTCATGGGACTTGTAGTTTGGCAACAGTTGGAGGGCCGCCAGTTTGACACCTGTGCAATAAAGGTTCCACTCAGTTTGCATGTTCCATTTTGGCCTTTTTCTGCATGCTAAATTAGTTTTCAGTTGAACCCAATTCATTACACTTTTATCAATTTGATTAAATCAAAATCAAGGTTTTTATGTTCAGGCAAAAATAATCAATGAGTTTCAGGTGTTGAAGTGGGTGTTTGGGTACAGTTTGGCTGCTAAAAGTAGGTAATATTTAGCTGCAGACAAGCAAGATGGAAAGACTCCTTGAAAAAGTGTAGCTTGCCCAAATATGTATAGGTAGTGTTATATTTGATGCAGTCTTAGCTGAACGTACAAAGAAGAAAAGACATAGGTCTTTTAGGTGAGCAAAATGTAAAACTTTTTTAACTTTAATAATAAAAAAAATGAAAATTGTAAAATTCTGTAAGATCCTTTGGTTCATTGGTGTTCCATCTTTTGCCTTTTATGTTTCTGTTCTTCATTTGGTAGGTAATACAATATACCCCTGCTTATCGTGGCTGTTGACGGCAGTCTTTTATAGCTATATTAAAGGCCAGCCACCCACTAGGAGTGCTCTACTTTTTGTTATGATTTCACTTTGCAAGTTTTCTGATGTTTCAGCACACAGAAATGAACACACTGCCAGTATGTGTGTAAGCTATTTTATCAGAGGAATAAACACAACATAGGGTTTATGTCCAAAAGCATTCCAGTCAAGCACTGCATTTTCCATCTTAAAGTGGTAGTAAATTGATTTTTTTTTTTAAATCGCTGACAGACAGGACAGATATGACAGAAGGGACTCTGTCGGTATCTTCTGTCATAAAAGTTCCCTTCTGCCTGTCAGCCGTAATGTGCAGTGAGCCACAGATGCACAGCTCAGTGCAGATTTATTGCCCCTGATCTGTGCCGGGATGATGCGACTCCCATGCACATACGCAGGAGTCATAAACAAGGTAAAAGCGAGTGCTATAGGTCAAAAGAGCAGCCAATGCACCAAAGGATACCAAACAACCTTTCAGAACATAAATATATAAAGGGTGTGGCGCTCAAGCAATCATCAATACAATAAAATAAAAACTATATAAAATCCATAAAGTGACTTCAGTGATATCATACATTCCAACACTGTAGAAGTGACTCCTGGTGACCAATAATGATGAAAATAGATAGTGCGAGTATAAGAGATCGAATTATCTGCAGCAATAGGTGCTCCATTCAAACCAGATGGTGAGGTGACCAGTATATATGATAAGGCTGTGCACTCACCAGATGCACAGTTAATCTGCGCATGTAGAGACAATGCTCCTGTAGGGGACGCTCCAGGCTCCCATAATAGATTTGGTCTGATCAGGTATTCCTCTCACTGCTCTCCTCAGCTGGCAATGTGGCCTCACTTCCTCCTCATTAAGGCTTTGTGAATTGTTGATGACTCACAAAGAGCCCAGAAAAAGAGGAGGCCAATAGTGTGATACTGTTTAAGCATATGCACTTTTATTCCATACAAAGGCAGTGGTACAGGGAACAAAAAAAAACACAATTGCACTGACCGTGTGACCAAAATGGCCGCCGGGACCCACACGGTGCCAGCGGCGTATTGTCACAACGCTGTTGCTCCTCCCTTCACCGTGTCACAAGTCACTTTATGGATTTTATATAGTTTTTATTTTATTGTATTGATTATTGCTTGAGCGCCGCACCCTTTATACATACGCAGGAGTGACGTCATTGTGACCTGGCCATTCAAGCAGTCGAAAGCCCAGGACACGGGAGGAAGACCAGGCAAAGATGGAAGTGCCAGGGATCTATAACACCACAGCGCTGGAGGGTTTCTTTGGCAGGTAAGCCTGCCACAATATGCCAATATGCCATGCATACTAGCACATTATGGCAAAACCCACCTGAGTCAAACGCAAAGCAGGTCAAATGCAGCCTCTGAACTGCCATGTGTACTGCTCAACTGACGTCAGTAAGATTTTGCTGACCAACCTTCTTTTGGAAACCTTTACATTTAACAGTATGGGGAATTGGGGCCAGCATGTGAGGTCAGGTAGCTGAAAACTCAGCACCTTGTAGGTTTCAGGTGACTTTTTACACTCCGATTTGCCTCAGCGATGGCCATTCCCATATTTCTGCGCTGAGTTCTAAGTGAAACAAGCATTCATTTTCTGTTAGAAATACTTACATTCTTTTTTAATTTTTTCAGCAACGAGAAACTCATCCCTTTCAACAGTTGGGGCAAAATTACTGCCGATCACGCGAACTGCATATTGGAACTGCTGGGCTACATCCGCTGGGAAAGCAATACAAGAGGACAAACATGTCAATACTTTGAACAACAAACCATTTTAAAGAAACTAAAAGTATCACTTCTACGTTTTATATGCATACTTTTCTTGTGATAAGGCCTTCCTGCAGTCCTTATATAGCAGCTGTAAAATGGTGTAAAAATCCACTTTCCTTTATCTCCCCTTGGCTAGATTTTATTTTATTTTTTTTTTTTAGAAAAAAGGGATTACGTCTGTGCTCAGACAGACTGCTTAAAGTGGTTGAAAAGGATATTTGTTTTTATTAAAATAATAAATATGGTATAACATACCTGCTCTGTGCAATTGTTTTGAACAAAGCAGCCCCAAACCATCTCTTCTGGGGTCCCCCACTGGCACTCTCCGCTCCTCTTCTTCTGTGTGTCTTAAGTTGCTTGCTATTGGGGCATATCCTGCTGGCTCACTCCCGAGATGAGCTGTGTGTGTCCATAGAACAAACACGCAGCGCAGCACGGCTCCACCCTCTGCTCCCTCCTCACAGAATTTGATTGACAGCAGCAGGAGCCAATGGCTACCATTGCTGCCTCTGTGGCCTGTGAGATTAAGAACACAGATCAGCAGAAGGGCACAGCACTAGATTGAGATAAGGAGGTGAGGGGGCAACACAACCACGGTTACATTTTTAACCTTAATGCAGGGAATGCATTAAGGTAAATGTCTTGGCTTTAGAACCACTTTAAGAACCAACTTTACCTTCAAAGGTCAGATTTCACTAATGAGTTTTCACAGCTGCTATCCTGGGATTGCTGGAAAGCTGTGACATGTGGCATGAAGCAAAAAAAGAGCATATAACAGTCTCTGTGCATGTGTGACATCTAGATTTTTCTAGTGCAGAAAAGTAAAAAAAAAAGGCTGATTTTAGAGCTTTCCATGTGCAGACGTGCCCGCAACACATGAGCGGAGAACAACAAAATCTGACTTTTGTCTTTGCAGGATCTAGTCAGGACTACTGATTGTAATGGCTCAAAAAATTAGATTTTTGGGTTCTGATAGAACACACACTAGTTTGTTTGTTTTTTAACAGCCATTTATACAGCCCCGGCAATTAGCACAGCCTTACATAATGTACAGTTGCAAAAAAAAGTATGTGAACCCCTTGGGATTACGTGGAGTTTTGCATGAATTGGGCATAAAATGTGCTCTGAACGTCATCTAAGTCACAACAATAGAAGAACACAGTCTGCTGAACATAATACTACACAAACATTAGATGTTGCCATGATTTAATTGCACTAACATGTAAACATTCACAGTACAGGGAGGAAAAAGTATGTGAACCTTTGGACTTAATAACTGGTTGACCCTCCTTTGGCAGCAATAACCTCAACCAAATCCCAAGGGGTTCACATACTTTTTCTTGCAGCTGTACATTTTCATCAGTCCCTGCCCTCCCATGCATACACATAAAGGAGCCAATTAAACAGCAAGTTTTTGGAGTGAGGGAGGAAACCCAGGCAAGCACAGCAAAGACCTTGTAAACTCCATGCAGATAGGTTCCTGCCCAGGATTTGAGGACCCCCAGCACTGCAGGGAAGAAGTGTGAACCACTAAAACATTGCACTGCCCACTATTTTGGTTGCATTTCCCTTACTACAGCTGAAAACATTGTAGGAAACCCAGATCATTCTTCATTATGATAATGTTTACAGTACAGATATATGTTACACATTCCTGCATTATTCATTAACTGTGTACCACTTTGCCAAACCAAAACAATTAAACCTGGATGGCAAATACAGTGAATGAAACTTAATAAAAAGAAATGCCTACAACAGACCAGACAAATAAATGTAATACATTGTTTATGCAACTCACAAATTAGGTCTTTAGTGTCCATTCACAGTAAGGCCAGGGAATTACTGATAGGGATATCTTGCAAATTCGCTGGACTCTGACTGTGTTGATGGGGGAATCCCTCCCGCGGAGCCATTGTGCTCTCCTGGCAAGGTGGGGCCTTCCCCACCATGGAAACACAGTGATAACAGCAGCTAGGAATAATCACATGTAAAATCTGGCAGACTGGTTGTACCGGAGCTGATCGATCAATCAACTTGGATACATTCAGCCAGCCCATACATGCTTCAAATCTCGGCTGGTTCAGCAGGAAAAAAAAAGCATCAAAACAGAACACCTGTTCATTTTTTATGGATTTTCAATGCATTTCAGGCCTGGTTCACAACAATGCAGTTTGCGTTTAGTCTGTTTTTCAGTGCTTTTTGCATGCTTGTTGACAACACTTTTTTATGCGTTTTGCGATTTCTGACATTTTTTTGACCAACTTGTTGCTAGGCGGATTAAAAACACAAAACGCATAAAGTAACACGTGGTTTTGATTCGTTTTTAATGCATTTCAGGCCTGGTTCACACCAATGCAGTTAGTGTTTTGTCCGTTTTGCAGAGCTTTTTGCACACGTTTGACGGAATTTTTGATGCATTTTGCTTTGTTTTAATGTTCTTATTTTTTTGGCCAATTTGTTGCTTGGCAGATTAATGCAAAATACATTAAAAACACAACACGTGTGCATTTTGATGCATTTTCAAGTCCTGGTTCACACCAGTGCAGTTTGCATTTTGTCCTGTTTTGCAGTGCTTTTGCATGCGCATTATCAATGCCTTTTTTTTTTTGGCCAACTTGTTACTGGGCATATTATAAACACAAAATGCATCAAAAATGCTGCAAATGCATAAAAACAAGTCAGAGATGCACTGCATGCATTTTCTGGAGAGTCTCCATTGAAGTGTATTGAACCAAAAACGCAACATTCTGCTGTTAAACAAAGTCCCTGACCCTTTCAAAAAACGCAGCAATCAAAAAAGCATAGATGTGAACGTGTCCCGTAGTAACCATGTTAAATGGACCGTAGTGCACTTCTGCAAAAAGCTCTAAAAAACACATTGGTGTGAACTGAGCCTCAATGGGGAGGTGCAGTTTTTTTTCGTTTTGTTTTTTTACACACGCAAAAGCACTGCAAAAACTGCTCAGTTTGAAAGCACTGGACCCCATGAAAATTGTGAACCTTTGGGTGTGAGATGCACACATTTTTCAAAAAACTGTGCTTGGAGCGACCTAATACCAGGCCTAAACACTGTGAACTGGGGGGGGGCAGGGCAAAGCAAATATTGACTTTGTGAAAGATGCTATATACATACGATTCAGCGGCTAGTAGTGCACTTCAGAGATCAATGGCACTGCCAAGGTAGGATGTGGCATTTTATGTGCCTGCTTAAAAAGTATTTAAACCCAACATTTCATCTTCCTGATATGTGCCTGCTGTACCATGTACTTATATGAATAATTATCCTGTGTTCTTTGTATTTCTTCCTTTGTATGAAATCCCTGGTGTTCCTGCCAGTCCCTCTGCTTTCCTATTAAACACTGGCCACACTAGGCATGACAGCACAGTGTGGTCAGTTCTCTAGCTCTCTACTCTACACACACACACATTCATGGGGAAGTTCGGTATCTGCTGTTTCACCTACCCCAGTTCTGTTGTCTGCATAAGGAGATTAGAGGGTATGAATTCATTTATAAGTCCTCATACACACATTTTAATAACGCTGGTAACATTAGCTGTGTAAAGTCATGTTAAAAATGTGAGTTTTTCAGCTTATTTGTTTAGCGGCGTTTTCACGTGTTTGCGTTTTTTTTTTTACCCTCAAAAAATTGGGGTTTTTTGGGGGGGGGTAAAAAAGGCCAAAAATGGCAGTTTGCGGCATTTTTCCAAGGTTTGACGCATTTTTACAGCTAAAAAACGTTTGTTTTTTTTTTCTGCCAAAAAATATCCCAGCCAAAAAATGATGATTACAGTCTATGTGTACATGAACACATAGGATAACATGCTGGAGAGTTTACTGGCTGTAGAACAAAACATCAAAAACAGCAGTGTGCATGAGGACTAAAAAAAAGGGGGAAAAAAAGGAATTTATAATGTGTTTTTCTATCTATACACAAATGCCTTTCATTTATATTTTAAACTGAATGGGTTATTTTACAAGGTGAGGGCTAACATATACTTTAAAGCAGAGCTCCACCCACAAGGGGAAGTTCTGCTTTAAGGACTGCTCTTCCGCTCCCCATGAAGGATTGGCACCTTTGGGGGCCAGGGGGGGAGCGGGTACCTGAATTTGACAGGTACCCGCTCCCACTTCCACTCCGATCGCCTAGGTGATGGGAAGAGGAAGGTGTCCTCCCTGTAGTCTTTTGGGACACGTGACAGGTCCCAGACTACAGGACCATTCATAAAGCGCAGAGCTACTCACACATGGGCAGTGGGCACTCAGCTGTGAAGACGCAAGCTGTCACGGCCGGGTGCCCACACTGAAGATGCCGGCCTCCTGGAATACAGGACGGCCGGTGAAACGGGTTGCAGGGGAAACACCACGGGACCGAGGGACAGGTAAGTGGCTGTTTTTTAAAAGTCAGCAGCTACAGTTTTTGTAGCTGCTGACTTTTATTTTTTGGCAGCGTGAGTGGAACTCCGCTTTAACATGGTTAGCTACTTTTCTGGTTAAAAAGATGTTACAGGGTTGCCTGGACCGATGAGCCCAACATCTACAACATCATGTTCAGTGTACTTGTCGGTTCTTCTATAGTGTGCAATATAAAGTGCTGGACCATAAAACAACTTTCACATTGATGATAAACAGGGCATTATGGAGAGGTTACTATTTAGAATTGTAACATACCAGTGCACATTTTGGTGCTGCATCACCACAACCAAATTTGAAACACTATTCCAATACACACCAAGCCACACTGCTAGTCTAAAACACATTTTATTGAATTTAAGAGTTTACCAAAAAATTATAGCAGCATAGTATGAAAAGGAACATACCCTAAGGCTAGGTTCACATCCGTGAGGGTGGTGCCACTGCGGATCCGCACGATAATCCGCGCAGCCAAACCACCCGCACAGAGGAATGCGGACCCGCGGGGAGGGTGCCATTAGTTCTAATGGCACGCCGC